TCGACATGATTGATGATCAAGATTTGCCTGTGCCACCTGATCCAAGCGAAATGCCGATGGACATTTCTCAACTCATTGAGAGATTGTCTGAGCCGCCTGAAATGCTGTATCGTCAGCCGTTCACTGGGAATGGAGTGATTTGTCCAGTATATGTCCCGAATAAAGATGCAGGTCCACTCCAGACAAAGCCAATGCAGTTCTGTGGAACACAGATTTAGTTGAACCAAGTTTAGGGTTGTCGGAAGACCGCATGACGCATTTCACTCCACGCCTTGTCAGCGAAGGTCGTTTGATAGAGCTTGAAGCAATGAATGCTTTGTACGTTGGCAACCCAATGCGTGGAAGTGAAGCAACAGAGCTTGCCAAATCACTTGGAATCCGCATAATCCCATGCCGTTGGGTGCTGACCGCCAAGACTGTGAATGGCATCGCAGGGCAATGCCGTGCCCGCTGTGTCGCTCAAGAAATTGCCAGTGGAGGAGCTTCTGCGCAAAGCCTTGGAATATCAAGCACCACTCCAAGTGTTGAGTCATTCCGTTGTTTCTTGAGCATGATCAACAGTTGTGATATGCATCTAGCAGGACTAGATATCTCAACAGCATTTCTCAACAGCGATTTGCCACAGGGCATTAGGGCGATTGTGCGACTCCCAGCTGACTGTTCGTTTGCAAGCACGCACTATGACATTGTCTATTTGGACCTCTACAAGTCTATGAATGGGCTACGCGTAGCCTCCAAGAGCTGGCTTCAAACGCACTCGCCTGCTCACCGAAAAGGTGAATTTGGTCACATGTATGTCAGAACCCACAATCATGTGTGGAGTGACCAAGCCATCCAATGCTCCAGTGATCGTGATGATCTATGTTGACGATTTGCTTGTTGGATCGATCTCAACCAAAGGGATAGACGATGTCAGGAATGCACTTCAGGAAACCCTCAAAGTCAGGACCACCGGATCATTGACTAATGCCAGTGGAGCAGGAGGTACGATTGTGTTCCTTGGTCGTCACATCATCCGTCCAGCTGGAACGAGCGAGATCTTGTTGAGAGTGCCACCAGAGTACCTCAAGGAGCTTTTCACGAACGATCCTTTTTGTTGTGAATTGAAGCCTTCGGACAAGCCCCCTGATCTGTTAGGAATGCTTGAAGCTGGTGTGAAGGACCCCAAGCTTGTTGAGCCGTTGTCCGATGAAGCCGCCGCCCGCTACAAAAGGATCATTGGCAAGTTGTCATGGTCGGGACAATCCCGACCAGACCACGCTCGGTTCCTGTCCATTTTGGCAACTGGCCAAGCGACCCCGACCAATCTCCACGAGAATGCATTGCGCAAGTATCTTCGATATGTCCGAAGTCAGCTTCACTTGTTCCAAAGGTTCCCTGCAGGAAAACCCGTTCTGCCAGAGTATGATGAATTGAGTGGAGTCAGCGATGCATCTTGGGGGTCAAGTGACTTGGAAAACCGCAGGTCCACAAGTGGTGGTTTGATCTTTTGGAAGGGTTCCATGATCAAAGGATATAGTAGGCTTCAGGGATGCATCACATTGTCATCATGTGAAGCTGAAATCATTGCAGTTTGTCAACTTGCACAAGAGTGTTTGGGGGTTCGCCATGTGACTGAATTCCTGGAGAGTTTCGGAGATCGCAACATGCTGTTGAAGCTTTCAACCAAAGAGTTTCAGGAATTGAAGTTCGATGAGATATCAAATCTTGGCGACCACTACCCCATTGTGATTTTCACCGATTCGCAAGCATGTATAGGAGCTTTGAACAACCAAGGGTTGAGCCGAAGGGTACGTCACATGTCAATTGCTGTTTGTTACATTCAAGCATTGAAAGATTGTGGCAACCTCACCATCGAATGGCTTCCAGGTAGCAAATGCACAGCCGATCTGTTGACGAAAGTGCTACCAGTTGAAGTGAACAATTTCCATCGAAGTCAGATTGGAATTTTGGAAATCGTAGGCCAAGAAGAATGGCAGTTGGTAATCAACAAAGAGCTCAAGAAGAAAGGAAAGAAGTCTGACGTACAGACTACGGATGTCCAGGATGAAATCCCAAGCACGGAGGATCTTGCAACTTTTTCGGCAAAGAAAGGTTTGCCGGTTGAAGGTCTTGAGAGTTTTGAGAATCTGCTCCAACGCGTTGGCATCGAAGTCCAAGCTGGAAAAGTGACGCATGTGATCGTAGAGCTGTGCACCAGTTCAAATGCCGGTCTGTCCCAGGGAATCGATTCCACCAGGTCTAGTTCTTGTGCTGTCATCCCCATCACCAAAGAGATTGATTTGCACCGTGTTTCGAAGGTTTTGGTATCATGGATTGTTTGTTTGAAGGAACTTCAGCCTGGAGTTGTGTTCTTGGGATGGGCATCCCCTCCATGCACAGGAGGATCACCGGTCTTGCATTTGATCCAGCAGCCACGTCGAGGGGAGATTCAATCTGAGCATCTGAAAGAGTTTGAGGACCTCATGATCCAAATCCATCAGGTTTTGACCGTTTGTCAAATCAGAGTCCTCGAGATGTCCCAACGATGCTCATATTGGAAAGATGAATCGGTTCAGTCGTTCTGCCGAGTTCATGAGATGAGGTTCGTCCAAGACATCGCACGATGCGCATATGTGAATGAGAAGGTACCAGCACTGCACCAATATCGTTTGGTCAGCAGCCGATCGTTGTTCATGCCTAAGGAGTGTAATTGTAAGAACCACATGTCGTTGAACGACCAGCACCTGGGATCACTTGGGGAATAGCCCAAGAAGTTGGCCCTCGCAGTCGTGAAGTGGTTTGTGACCCAGCACCAGTAGGCAAGAGTGAGAATAGATGTAATTAAATCTCGAGATGAATGCAAGCACATGCGATACAAAGGTCGCTCAGAGTCCGCAAATGTGGAAGTAATTTACCGGTACATGCATGATGTTTCAACTGTGTTTAAAATGTCATAGCTTCAATAACAGAATCTTGACTTGATAGAATGTTGCCCGACAAAAGGATTCGACTTCAGCTAAAATGTTCAGGATTCCACACTTTCCCTAAGGGAATCATCTTTTTCGAATTCTTGCACCTCCTTAGATCTTGGCAATGGCATCGAAAGCTCCGAAGGTTGTCATCACGATCGACTCTGACAGCCCGACCGAAGTGGTTGTCAAAGTCGGTTCAAGCAGCACTTCGGCTGGTGGAATCGAGATCAAAGAGGAGAGCAAGGTTGCAAGCAATTCAGGTGTCAAAGGCACGAAGGAGAGCAAGCCCGATCTGAGCTCGCCATACCCTCATAGTGGATCCTCAAAGGACAAAAGGGGAGGCCATTCAATGCCCCATGGTGAGATGCCATGTTCATCCGGAAAGCCCAGTGGCGATGGCGATTGGGATAAGGTGTCCATGATCGTCGATCAGGATGAAGGCCCTCACCAACCTGATCATCCACCTCCAGGTTGGTCATCTCCTCGTCCGCCGACAGATTCGCCTCCAAGCCCGAAGAGTCCATTGGAACCTCCGCCATGGAAGGTTGCATCCGCCTCAGAAGCTGCAACAGATCCATCATCGACCACCCCGGAACAGTTGATTCCTGCTGGTGAGAATTTGTGTATGACCCGCAAAGCTGGCCGTGTATACCACAAGAGAAGCTGCGGGATTCTGAAGCACAAAAAGGATGATGAGCTGGTCACGGATTTGACCTTTTGTGAGGTCTGTGCAGTTGGAATGCCCCTAGTGCAGACCCAACGGTTCGCAATCTCGGCAACCGATGTTCCTAGGAAGCTGCATTTTGTTTGGACTGATGGGTCGACTCAATGCCGGGTCGGGGGAGTGCAGGTGACTGGATGTTACCAATGCATCTGGCGGTAGAGATCCTAAGGGTCCAGAGGCAAGAACTTGAAGAAATAACATATTCCATAAATAGATACATAGCTTAAGGCTTGATAGTACTGCACTTGTTCGCTGCAGCAATTTCTTCGAATCTTGTCCGTTGAGCTTGAAAAGGAATGCCTCCAGATCCACGAGAGATCATGTGCCTAGGACGCCTGGAAAGCCGTGAAGGCCACGTTGCATGATTTGTAAAGAAAGTTTTGCAAAGTGTGTTGAAATCAACTTGCTACACAACCTGTTTGCTTAGCATAAAAGTGCATAAGGATCCGGACCTTAAAAGTACTCAGATAAGCTTGGCTGATGGTTCGTCGCGAGTCCAGGAATCCCATGTGGCCTATATATGGGATAGTATGAACCAAGTGATTAGCGCTGCTCTCGTATATGGTTGTGGGGGGGTGTGAAATATAGGCACCCTATGCAATCGTTCGAGCAACCACATATCGTTTCGTTCGATCACTTGGAAGGTTCGGTCGCGGTTGCACACACCGCTTTTGACCATGGTGCGCTACGGCGCACAAATCGAGAAGTGTACCAAAGTGCCATCCGTACCGGTTGGCTCAAGGGCGACGCAAAAAGGAGTTGCTTCGCTTGGGAACGGCGGCCCGCGTGTCGACTAATCGCAGTCGAGCACAAATCGAGAAGTGTACTTCATTTGTTCTCTTTTCTCTGTGTTCGCTTTGCAGTTGAGGTTGAACTCTAAAAGGTGTGAGTTCTCATACCAAGAGCACCACCAACACCGCCTAGGCCGCCACAATCACCACCAAGACCACCGAGACTACCAAGACTAAAGTAGTCTGAGCGAGATACTGTGACATGACATGACCTTCTACAAAAGTAGTGAAAACGAGATAGGGCCTCCACATAAATGCTGCCGCACATATGTAAGCTGACCGTATATTTTTAAATCGTACCGTATATTCATATTCATTCCCTATGTTTAAAGGGTCGGGCCGGGCTGGCAAAAACCTTGCCGGAGGTATAGTCTAAAATATCTGTTCACCTGTTTAAAAAATCGTATATTTAAAAAGCGATACCGTACAACATCCTCTCACGTTGCCTTGGCATTGTTTGGATGTCACAGTAAATCGCACCTGCATGAAAAGAGACACAGGATGAGAGCAAGATTTCGTTTTGGTGCGCAGGCAGCAGTGCCTGACTCACCTCCAGCAATCGAGGCAGGCGTCTCAGAGAAGGCTTCATGGTCATCTCCCTCCACAAATTGGGTTCAAGACTCAAGACTTTGTTTTTTTGCACCAATGAGGTTGTCAATCAAATGCAAGGCTGTTCAAGCTTTCCTGTTTGAATGAAACCCGCTGCAGCAACACGTGCAACAATACAGCAAGTCAGGGTACTGTATATAGTGTGAATGCTTTTGTGGGTTCTTGACAACATGCCCTGGTCCATCCTGAATGGCAAATAGAAGGCCTTCGCTGGACAAAACCTATAGAAGAGCAGAGTCACTTCCTACCATAATGAAAGGCCTCTTTGGTGGTGAAGCAACAGTTGAAAGCACTCCCGACAGAAATGCAATCACCTGCCAAGCTGCTAGAATTTCAAGATTTATGTCGGGCACGCCAGCCATAGATACAAGGAGCCAAAATAGTTTTATAAAGCAAAAACAAAGCAAAAAAAAAAGCAAAAGGCAAAGCAAACAACAAAGCAAAACAATGTAGCTGTGCGTATTTGTCGCTTTTTTTCACTTTTTTTCGCTTTATTTTCGCATTTTTTCGCTTTATTTTCGCTGTTTTTTTCGCTTTTTTTTCGCTTTTTTTCCTAGGAGGGTACAGCAAAAACATATTTGTCGCTTTTTTTTCACTTTTTTTTCGCTTTTTTTTTCGCTTTATTTTCGCATTTTTTCGCTTTTTGTTTTGCTTTGTTTTTGCTTTTTGCTTTGTTTTTGCTTTGTTTTTGCATTTTCATTTGCTTTTCTTTTGCTTTTTTCACTTTTTTCACAAAAAGATTATTTGATGGTTGGCCATGTATGGCTGCCATCGCCCAACATAATTCAAGATGTCAGTTTTCCCTGTGAAGACTCCAAAGAGTGTAATTTCCTTGCCACTGTTAGTGGGCTTGCAGGCTAGATGGACAGGGTTCCAGCCTATTTGAGGAGTTGTTTGATGGGTCTTGACTACTCTAAAGCTCGCGGAGGCAGTGCCACCAGAGCCTGTCCAAGAGGCTGAGGAGGTGAGCCTTGAGCACATTAGGTACCCCAAGCCCTGGAGCTTTGTACAACATCCTCTCACGTTGCCTTGACATTTTTTGGATGTCACAGTGAATCGCACCTGCATGAAAAGAGACACAGGATGAGAGCAAGATTTCGTTTTGGTGCGCAGGCAGCAGTGCCTGACTCACCTCCAGCAATCGAGGCAGGCATCTCAGAGAAGACTTCATGGTCATCTCCCTCAAGAAGAGCTCCAGAGTTTTGGATCGAACACAATGCTATGCGTGCCTGTTTGTTTCTGTGGTTGAAGATCCACCAAGCACAAAACAAGAAGTGTACCCCTTTCAGCTTTTCGCATTTCGCATCTTCGATGATGTCACAGGTTGCCTTGAACACAAAGGCATTCGCTCTGATTTGGCTCAAGAAAAGGATCGCTTGACTCTTGCGGTCGCATCGTCCACTCGACCTTTCATAGGTTATGAGCCCAAGGTGTGATTGTTGGGCGCGAAGACCACGTCCATTGTTGGGCTTGTTGGCTCCCATGGCGGCTGTTTCGCATCGCCGTAGGCGGCAGCGGTCCAGAGAGGCAGCGGCAGCTGAAGATCCAGGCCAACGACCACCCTTGGAAATTGGAGCTGCAGAGCGGGAACTAGATGAAACAGTTCGAGAACACCAACGATCATTGAGGGCTTCATCGGCACCAATCGAAGGACCAGGTGTTCGACGTCTTGAAGCAGGTCTTGGTGCTCGAGAACCTCTACGCCCGGCAGCTCTCCCAGCAGGAGGCCCGTGGAAATCCACCTCGTGAAGATCATGGTGGACCAGGCCAACAAGTGATGGGGATCTTGCAGGATCCAAGAGCTTCGCAGCTGGGGCTTGGGCAGCTACAGCGTGCGGTTCGACAGAGTTACTCCAACACGCTCTAGGCGGCGGGTCTCGAGGGCAAGGTCTTTAGATCCACTCCTAAGAGGACATGATGTTGGACACCAAGGAGGACCAGTTCCCACCGATCATGGAGGTGGAGGGTTGCTGGCGTCTCCATACCAGCCAGCGGGGTTGCCGCTTGGACCACCGGTGACCTACACGCCGGACCCAAGGCCGAGGGTACTTGAGCCCTATGGTCAAACTCCTCAAGGCACGGCAGGAAATCCATTTTGGAGCACTGGAGGTCAGCAAGCTCTTCCTGATGGACCTGGCCTAAGCCATGCAGTACCAGTTCAGCAGCCTGCGCTGAGTCCCGCAGCTGTTGTTGAAGTTGAAAAGATTCGTGAACGTGTCCTACGTGAAGCTGAACAGAACTGCGCTCGGGAACTACAAAAGCTGGAAAAGGGGGATAGTGCCTCCTATGCTTCGGCCAACAGTGCAGCGGTTGAGCGAGAAAAAACTGGTGCACTTCCTCCAGGTGGACCTCCTGATGTTCCGCCTGGGTTGACTGGTGTTTTTGGTGGCCCTCGAGGCCCTGGTGATTATTCTGCAATGTCGGGCCCTCCAAAACCTGGCCCAGACTCTGTGACCGCTTTTCCTGAGGCTATGCGGAACCTTGAACTACCTACTCTACCAGCTCCGTCTGGCGCTGCTGTTTGGCGATTGGATGACTATTATCACGCCGCTGATGGGTGATTTGAGAGCCTCTTCAAAGGAGTTCTGGGAGCTCATCCAGGAGGAGGTCAGTGCGAAATACAATGAATGGCTGGTGGCTTCACCTCTTGCTCGGTCGCATCAAGGTGGAGGATCAGGTTCCAGTGAGATTCCAAAGAATGGATCAGAGGGCAAGCTCGACGTTGCTTGCATCTTTGCCGGATGCAGTTCGGCGTGAAATTGCGGCGAGCGAAAGTTGCAACGGCTGCCATCCTGTACAAGCTGTACACCATCTATCAACCTGGAGGTGGTGCTGAACGCAGTAACCTGCTGCGCAGCCTCACAGATCTTCGTTTGGGAGCCTCAGTGCATGATGTGCTGACATCCATTCGCGCTTGGCGAAGGTGGCTCAACTGGGCTGAAGAACTCCAGATCACCGTTCCGGACTCAATGATTCTGGTCCAAACCTGTCGAAGGTGGCTGATGCTTTGTCCAAGCATGGTGGCGCCCAGGTTGGATACCGACTGGCTTCAGCGCGACAAGAACTTCAAGTTGATCGTCAACCATCGCTGCCAGCGGTGAAGGACTATGCTGAATTCCTCCAGGCAGAAGCTGAAGATCTTGCATTGATGGCAACTTCGCACCAAGGTACTGCCAAGGGCGCTTCTACGGCTGCGACTTCAGCGACTGCTCCTCAGGCCAGTGTGAAAGCCTTTGGGGGAGGAGGTGGTTTGAATGGCACTGAGAGCCCAGAAAAGAAGCCAAAACAGGCGTGTCGCTACTGGGGCACTCAGGAGGGTTGCAAGCGGGCTGACTCTTGTACCTTTGCACACTCGTGGGACAACATCAACAAGAACAACAGGTGCTTTCACTGCTCGGGTGAAACCATTTTGCTAAGGATTGTCCCTATGGTCGCGACAGGGCCTCAAAGGACTTCAAGAAGAATGCCAAGATCAAGGGAGGTGGAAAGACTTCCGCGATCAAAGAAGATGAACTTGAAAAGCCTGACGCTACATCGACTTCATCGCCCACGCCCTTGAGTACCTCGACGGTGACTGGTGGCGGGGAGGAGGAAAAGAAGGGAGGTGAAGCTCCTGCGAAAAATGATTCTCAAGCCGGGGGTTTGCTTGCTGAAGCAGCTTCACTCCTGAAGACCTTGCGGTCTATGAAGAAGGTGAGACTGAAACAGGTCTCTGCTGGCTTGGGAGGAACCGCCCATGATCGGTTCGCTCTACTGGATGGAGGGGCGACACACGCCCTTAGAATGGCCCATCCACATGAACGTGATGATCTACACCCCATTGAGGTGGAGTTGGCGCAGGGGACGACCACTTTGTTTTGCCATCCTGGTCATTCTACGTCTTTGACTGAGGTTGAACCCATCATGCCCTTGAGTCTGCTGGTTGAGAAGGGCTTCAAGATCTCTTGGCGGCGCACTGGATGTGTCCGCCATCCTGAACTTGGTGATGTCAAATGTTGGCACCGCAACGGATGGCGTGTGATGGATCGTTGCAGTGCACTACAGATGCTCGAGCAGTTCGAAGCTGAGGAGGCCTGCGCATCCTCTTTGAGTGAGAGCCAGGCTTCATGGTGGACATCAAGATTCCCTCAGGTGCCGCCTGAAGCGCTGAAATACATGATGGGACAGGGTGAGGAGGCTCAGAACCCTCCTTGGAACCGAAGAGCCCGAAGATCTCATGCCAGAGCCAAAGGCGTTGTGGTGAACTTGTTCAGCGGGCCACACCCTGAACGATGGCGGGGCATTGGAGGAAACTCGTATGCTTGGATCCATGTGGATACCTGCCTTGGCTCGCAGTACAGTTTACACAGTCCACAAGTGTGGGCCTTTTTATGGTCACAAGCCACAAAAGGTCACATCGCAGCAGTTTTAGGTGGCCCACCTTGTAGAACGGTCTCAAGGATGAGAAATCGAAAGCCAGGACCGAGAAGGCTTAGGGGGAGAGATGAACTTTGATGGTGTCCACAAGGCCTTGAAGAACATGAAGTTGCCCTTGCACACAGTGACACCGCCCTATGCCTCAAGCAGATGGCTCTTTGGGTCCAAGCTCAAGAATACAGAAAGGTTCCACAAGATGTTGGCATGCTGCTCGAATCTCCACAGGAGCCCTTCATTCTGGAACTTCCCGCAAATCACATCATGGGTTGGTGTGGGAAATTTGGAGTTGTACCACTTCGATCAAGGAGCATTTGGTCATCCCCGGACTAAGCCGACTACAGTGTTGTCCAACCTTCCTCAACTTCATCAATTTCATGAGGTTCGGGCGGAGGGGCATCAACAAGGACCACTACCACGGGATTTGACCACTCGCATGGATGTCTCAAAAGATTGGGCGGCTTGGGCTCCTGGCTTGGTTGCTGCCATTCGACATTCCCTGCACTATGTTGGTGATGATGGACAGAAGCTGTCCAAAATGGACATGGATGCTTGGCGTCGTCATGTACGTCAACATCACACACCCTTTCGAGCAGATTGTCGCATCTGCGCTGAAGCGATGGGCTATATGATTCTCCCCATCGTCGACTTGGGAAGTCTTCAACCAAGTACATGGCGGTGGACATTTGTGGACCTTTCCCACGCACAAAGGATCCGGCTACAGGTGCCACGTGTCGCTATGCTATGATTGCAACGGTGGCAGTGCCAATTTTGGGTGATCTCCCTGCACCTGAACAGGCAGAGCCATACACTTCGGAAGCCGACTTGAAGGGCATCTCCGATGAACTTGATGAGGTGGAAGTTGATCCGCCCAAACCGTTGACTGAAGATGAAGCCAAGTTGGTCACTGAGGCCAAAGAAATTGATGGTTCTATGAAGGACATCCCCTTGCAGAATGTCACACTGGCAGAGGTCATTGCGGATCGCTCGGTGGATTCCTTGACGAGAGCTTTGTCTCGCCTTCGTGCACGATATCGCATGTATGGCATCCCAATCTACAGAGTTCACACCGATCGTGAGCGAGCATTTGTCAGCAAGCCCATCCAGCGATGGTGCGAGCAGCGAGCAGTGGTTTTGATTATGACGGCCGGCGATGACTCCAAGGCCAACGGCCGCATCGAAGGAGAACTTCATCAAGTCAAAAGAAAAGGACGAGTTCTCCTCTCTGCAGCTCAATTGCCACCATCGTACTGGCCATGTGCAGTTCGCCATTCGGCTGAGCTTCGCTTCCGTGCTCAAGCTACACGTCTTGGTGTTCCTTGTCCGCCAATGCTTCAGTTCGGAGCATCTGCAGTTGTGCGCGCCAAGCGATGGCACAAAGCTGGCCAATTGGCCAATCCGTACAAAACTATGCAGCTCCTTGGACCTAGCCCTTACATGTCGACAGGTTGGATTGCTCGTGATTCTTGAGGAGCCATCCAACACTTGCGCACGGCTATGGTGCCTTCGGAGGCTGCAGACCAAGCGGTGATGGAGCTTCATGCAGTTGAAAAAGTGCCCCATCGTCATGGAAAACAACCTGTTGAGCCGCACCCACTGGCTGATCTTTTTCATCCTGATGCTCGGAAATCTGGTCCAGCCTTGGCTCGTTGCCAGGCTGGGGGGGAGGATTTCTTGGATTTTGAGCCAGCTGCACCAAATTTTGATGCTGGTCCTGGAGAAGATCACAAGAGCCCT